ACTTGACGGCAAACATTTCCGAGATGCCCCTCATCATATGAAAAAGTCCTTATCAGTGAGCTTTCCTGTATCCTCTATCAATTAAGATCAATCAAAGACGCCGATGTACAAAGATTACTGCCGCGGCACTGTAGTCCATTTGAATTTGAATGAAGCCCAACGGTGTCCTCCTTGTAAACCAGTCAACGAGTACCTATAGAGGACGAAAATGGAGTTTTGTATGTCACGCAACGACGGCAGGTCCCGCCGGGATCGGGACCTTTCGACGCGGTCGCGTCGCGGCCACGCCGCGTCCGCTGGTCGGGATGACCCCTCCCCATTCCGGCTTTCGTTTTCGTTACGACCTCTCCCCCCCACCCTGGAAAACGAAAAACATTAAGTTGAAAAACCCGTTCGATTCTATTTCAGATCCTCCCCTAGCTAGACGCTACTCCAAGGCCTCATCTACGGCACTCTTGGCCGCCGACAGAGGCTTGGAAGAAGTGGGGCAGGTCATACAAAGATGTATCGACCAATCAGTGGCCCCAGGAACCTTGAAAATATACAAACGAGTCAAGGCCCGATTCCTGGGGTTTGGAAGGTCCCTTAAAATCCCCGCCTTGCAAACTCCCAAACTCAGGAACATTTTTATTGCTCATCTTATCCACGAAGGCGAGGATCGTTCCCTAGGGTATCACGTTTCCGCCCTGTCCCACTTTTTTGGACCCCTTCCTGAAGACGACGCAGACATCCCGAAGGCTCTACTGAGAGCGGCCAGCAGGTCTAGGAAGCCTGTCAAGCATCGCACAAAAGCCTCAAAGGATGACGTTGATAAAATCATAGAAGTTGGTTTAACGACGGATTCCCCAGGGCTGATGTGCGCCGCTACCACTGTTATGCTAGCCCTTCTCGGCACTCCTGAGGGTAAGCGAAGTCAGTCATCTTCAGTTCCAAGACTTCACCTACAAAGGGGACGGGGCTTGGGGTATACTCATTAAAAGGTCCAAAACAGACCAACAAGGACAAGGGGAAGTAGTGGTGGCCAAATGGGGACTCCAGGAAACCAAGTTATGGCAGATTTTCTGCCGTCTCAAAAGACCACTCCTACCCCAAAAAATTCTCTTTAGTGGCAAGGTCGGTGAAGCCCCTTCTAGGGACTTTGTAGCCAAAAACATCACCAAAGTTGCCAAGGCAGCAGGTCTCCAACATAAAAAGTTGACCTCGCACTCTCTCCGGGGAGGAGCGGCCACCCACGCAATTAGACAAGGGGTGGATTCGGGTAAAATTATGCTCGCAGGGCGTTGGAAATCCTTCCAAGGCTTTAAGAGCTATATTGAACCCTCTCCACTGTAGACGTCCAGGGATTGGCTCTTTGTATATTTCAGAGCTATCAATGGAACGACTTCAGCAATCAGGACAGACACTGTTCGATGGTCAACACTCTGGATATGACATGTTGGACATTCGTGAAGCGGCTAAGCAGATACACAGTTGGCACGTCGTCGGCATTTTACTGTCAATTGAGATCGGCGTGTGTATTTTCCGTACTTTAATTGTTGATATTTTTGTCATGTTTCTTGTTATCCCGTTACTAGGCTATAAGCCTCCTATGAAGCTCATAAGAGATTTGAACATTGTTGTTATCTTTAGTTGTTTCTGTACATATTACTTTAGTTGTTTCTGTACATATTAACTGCTCGAGGAGCAGATATATACGCCTTCGTTGTTGATACTCATACAAGATTCTCGCTCGTTGTTCGGTGCTCATCCGGAAATTATATTCTATATCACTTCTAAAATGGTGCCTTTTTCACTACAGGGTTTTATCCGCAGTTGTTTCCTCTTCACGGGATATTTCAGGTTTCATCATGTACCATTGTGTATTCTTATGCTAATCCTTGAGTAGGAGAATGTAATACTCATAATAGTTATTATTCATTACGTCATAATACATTTACACATTTCTCTAAAAATGTTGAGCTTAAACTTGCTTCGTTCACTTCAGCATCACCTTAATAGTGTACTTAGGAGATGCAATATTATGCCCCACGAGGGCGCGCCTCCAGCTGAGGCATTTTTACATGTTCTCATTGTATATATGTGTACGCTATATTGTAAAGGTCAATCGTGGGCCGTTTTGCGACACGAACGTAAACGATAAAGCCTTCTCCCCGTAGTCTGTTGCGTGTAAAGACAAAACGTAAGTTTCGTCGTAGAGTATCGGAGACGAAAACGTTTGTTTTCTCCATGGCCGCAGACGATTGCGCCCCGTTGGCGCGAGTTTCTTTTCGTGACTAGAGCAGTGGTTTCTGGACTTTTAGTCGTTGCTAGACGTCATCAAGCTGGCGCGTAAACCAATAAACTATTCTGACAATGCTCT